ATGTTGGGATTTCTCTAAGGACCAGCCTAAGGTCATCATATGTGGCTTTCAAAAAAATTCATGAATATTAATCAGAAGGCAGCATGATTCTGCCCTCCCCTTGTCCTCCCTTCCCACATTTGCTAAAGAGCCACTTATTCCCCACTCTGAGCTGGTCTCCAGAGAGAGTTTTGTAACCAAGGCATCAGAATAGCCCTTTTCATGGCATTGGACTGCCCTACCCTTTCCCAATGAGAGGAAGAAGGGGATGGGGATTACACCTGATTGAGGTAGCCACTGCTTCCCTCAGAGTGGGAAGCAGGGACCACCACCTGCTCGCCTCAAATGTGCCAAAGTCCAAGGAAGCTCCAGCAGCTCGGGAGGCTGAGGTGGAGGATTGTAAGTTCAAAGCCAACCTCAGCAACAGTGAGGCACTAAGCAACTCAGTGAGACTCTGTCTCTAAATAAAACACAAAAAATGGCTGGGGATGTGGCTCAGTGGTTTAGAGCCCCTGACTTCATTCCCCAGTACCCCCCCCCCCAAAAAAAAAGAAAAAAGAAAGAAAAGAAATCCAAGGAAGATAGAGGTTTTCAGGTTTCTAATTTCTCTTGGGCTATAGACTGAGAGTGGGGGGGATCCTTACCTCTACCTGATGCCTGATGCCCTCACAATCCACATGGACAAGATGCTGAGTCCCAAATCCCAGCCCCAAGAGAGGACATGTGATGAACACCCAGATGACCACCTATACTTGCCCCACCTCACAGGGAGGTACATTTCTAAGCAGAGGCAAGGACGGACCTGATGAGTACCCACTGTGTGCCCGGGGAAGCTAGCTAGTGTTTGCTGTACTTCAAAGAGGCTGGCTACAGGCTGGAGGGCACCCAGGATTTGGTGGGATCTTGAAGCCAGTTCATTAAAAAGAGCCAGGCTTCTTAGCCTGGAGAAGTACAGCCTCTCCGGGGACCACACATACTCTTCAAAGAGAAGAGGCCAAGATCAGAGGGGGAAAGCAGAAGACCAAAGGTTGATTTGTGCATGTGTATGTGGGGCGGCCATGGGCTCATGGATTCTTGGAGCCTAAAGGGCCTCTAAAGCTAACACCCCGACTATGTGATAAAGAGAGGTTTTCTGCATATATTCGGGTATACATACTGTAGTTTTTATGTCTCTGGGTATATTTATTCACGTACTTACCTGCATATACAACTCCAGCTTAAGGTAGATCACTCTAAATAGAATAGCCTGGAGAAATCCCACTAGAGGTAAAAACCAACCCATCACCAATATACCACCTTCAAAAAACAAAATCCCAAACTAGAGACCACCTCCTGCTGCTAGGCACTGAGCCTGTAGGTTCTATTAGCTCGTCTGCCCACAAACATGCTTGATGGCTGATGATATGATCTGTGCAGGAGGTTTGCTGGGTGCACTGCAGCCCTAGAGGGCAGAGCCAGGAGGGGAACATTCTGATTATGCACTTTCACTCATGAATCACAGGATGGGCTGCTTCTAGAGGAAGTGGGCTTCCTGTTATGGTAGAGCACAGGGAGAGGGTGCAATGACCCCCTGATGGGTGTGGTGGAGTGTTGAAAGAGCCCTCTGCACTCTCTATGTGGAAATCCCACCATGATCTTGTTCTTATAGCTCTAAGAAAGGGTGATGTGGAAATGGTGGGTGTTGGAGGCTGTGCTCACCAAAATTAGGAGCAGAATAGCCTGTGCCTGGACTTCCTGGACATGGAGGCTCATAAGAAAAAAGATGTGTCCTCAGGCTGGGGCCATGTGCAAATAGAGCATGCACATCTATTTCTCCTGAAGCACTTCCTGTCTGTGGTCCATCTGAGCCTGGGCAAGGAGTGCAAGGAGCCGTGTTGCCCTAAGATAGAGCTGTAGCCACATGGACCAGGGACCTCAAGAGGCCCATTCTCACAAGCTCCACTGCAGTTGGAGTGTCCACAAGACTAACATCTCCAGGTGGTGGCTTCTGGAGCTTTAGGCAGTGTTTTGTTTGAATGGTAGAAGAATTGACCATTCTGGCCTTAGCCCTGCTTTTGCCTTTCCACAGATTACAAGGCAGAGATGGAAACCAAGTGCCCTCTCCCATGGAGTTGCAGGCAACACCTTAGTGGAACAACAGGTTGAAATGAATGGGATCTCTTTGTCATAGCAGCTTTGCTCATAACCTTACTTAGATATCTTACTCAGAGAATCCTCTCCAAGGACTCCCTATCCATCAGGCCACTTATCATTATTGAAATCTGCTTATGAATTTACTTGTTTGATGTTGGCTCCATACTCCCCACTCTTTAAAGATGCAAGCTTTATGAAAGGGGGGATTTTTTGGGCGGAGTATGTTCAAGTAATATCTCTAAAACCCAGATGCCTAGATGTTTGCATGGAGGACAATGATTGTTTATAGCAAAGATGATAGGGAGGCACGGAGGGGGACTCTAGACTTAGCTGTAATACCAACCTGGCCCCTTCATCAATCCTCACTCTCCCACCTCCCCTTAGGGAGAATATACCAAAAGGGTTCAGATGAGAGGAGAAACTTGTTCTAGGCCACTGAAGGTGACCTTGAGGCAGCTGGCTCCATGACCACTGGCTTCTACTCCCATTTTAGTCCATAGGGACAGACAAAATTCTTCTTGTCCTGCACAGTGCTTGGCATTAAGGAGATCCTCATCAAATATGCACAGCATAAAAGAATGAACAAATGGGTACTATGGCTGCAGAACCTTATGGTACACCTACCCACACTAGCACTTCATACTCAGTCCCCTAAATTGGTCTTCAACATTCTAGAGTCAAAGCAAGTCCTTGTTGTCCAGTTCTCAGATAAATTCACCAAGAAACAGTTAAGCTATAAGGAGATTTAGCTTCTGCATGTGCCAATAGGGTGTGAAGACATCTGTTAGTTTACACACATGTATGAGCAGGTACATATGCATTAAATAGGTGCTACCTTGCAGAGGTGTGTGTGTGTGTGTGCACGTATGCAAATCTATGCGTATGTGCCTATCCCCACGTAGACATTCAAATGTGACTGAGAGTGTGCATGTGTGGAATTTGTGTGTATGAATTCTTGGCCGATGGAATGGAATTTCTGCTAGTACTATTTTCCTGGTACACACCCAATCTTGATATGTTTTCTTTTCCTTTCTTCTTGGAAATCCATTACTAAAAGGGTTTTTTACCCGCTTCAAGGGGGTGGGGGCTCAGGGAAGGGGAAGCTAAAATCACAAGGCCCAGATCAAAACACTCAGCAGCTAAATGAATTCGGCAGCGTTTTCCCGCATGACTTGGAGGGATAATTTAGTGAGGCCGCCAGCTGGAAGGAAAGGGATTAATTCTGCACTTAGCACAGCTCCGGTGAATAATTCATCACTGGAGACCTTTGTGCCCAGCCCCTAGGCAATTGGGGAAGTGTCCTGCCCACCTGCCTGTTGCCTGCCTGGGTCTGCCAGTACCCTGACCAGGGACACCGACACTCCCGTTAGTCCCAGGATGCATATGCCCAGTGAAGACAGCAGGAGGCAGAGGGATGTGAGGACCGAGCTGGCGGTGGCCACTGGCAGACTCCAGACCCTGGGAAAAGCCCTGGAGGGCTGGGCTCCTATCTGAGAAATTTGTGACAATTTGCATGTCCCTTTTCTTGGATATTGCTTCTTCTGTTTTGGTTCCCTGTGCCGGGTTCAGTGGTGGTGTACTAGGGGGTGCCATCAGGGACCCTAGCTAACAAGCTCTCTCCTACCAGGTGATAGAGGACTCTCAAGATGACAATGCTGAACACCTCACCAAGCAAGGAGAGACTTGTAGGGAGATGCTTTTGGGCTGGTACCTCCTAGATGTACCTCTCATATCCTGTACAATGGACCTCCCCTTGTTCTTCATGGCAAGGTCTTCAGAGCTCGTGGCTACTTTTACAGGCATGGGGAGTTGGTAGGAGTGGGTTAGCCTAGACATCCTGAACATTTCCTTGGTTCATGGTCAAACCACCCATACCCCAGTACCACAGAGTGGAAAGTGAGAGAATTCTAGCAGGTGCCTATTAGGTGCACTGTAGCCCCAAGACCAGGATCCAAGCAGGACTCAGAGCCCGAACACAGTTAGCTAGAGGAACAGCAGTCCATCCATCAGCAGGACTCAGCCTTAGGTGCCTTTCCATTTGGACCAACCCTGCTACGGTAGGCAGGATTCTTAATAGGGGGCTCCAAGATTCCTTGTCATAATCCTTGCAACCTGAAATATGGTGAGCTATGGTTGCCTTTGATTTTGGTGCATTATGTGACCCAGCTGATGCCAAGATAAGGGACACAGTCAGTGGGCATAACCTTATCATTCCAGAACCTCTAAGAGCACAGAATTTTCTCTGGCTGCCAACAGAGAGGCAATCAGAATTTTGAAGTGTGATGGGGATTGGATATGACTGCTAGCATCAAGATGGAGAAGGCCACTGAGAGGAGGAATGTGGGTGATCTTCAGGAGCTGAGAGCCCCTGGCTGACATCCAGCAAGAAATCTGGGATGTCAGTCCAACACTGCAGGATCCTGCAGCAACCCAAATGAGCTTGGAATCAGATTCTTCCCCAGAACCTCTGGAAAGAAAAGTGATCCTCCCAGCATTTTGATTTCAGCCACACTGTGTGGAACTACCTACCTCCAGAAGTGTCAGATAGTACATAGGTGTTGTTTTAAGCTGCTAATTTTGTGATACAGCAAAAGCAAACTGGGTCCTAGTTTACCTTTGTAGAATCTTGACCCCAGTGAAATAGGCTTGGTTTGGCCTGGATCAGAGACCTACTCCTAGGTTTGGTGGCCCTCTTCTCTCAGCTTTTTCTCTGGTTTTCTGGTGCTTCAAATCATCCTCAGACATTCCAACCCAAATCAGCAGTGCCCTTCTCCCAGAAGTCCCTGGCCCGTTGTCCCTGAACAAGGCCAGCAATTGTGAAAGAGGTTGGAACTCACTGAGGAGTTATACATCTGCCAACCCTGGTGTCCCCTGGAGCATAGCCTTACCTCAGAGGAAAGAAGCTGGAAGGAGAGATCCACTGTGGGAGCGTCACCATTTATGGTTTTCAGGTAGGTGTCCTGGGGAGGAGAAGGGGGAGTCAGCTCACTCCGGCCAGGGCAGCTACGGGCCTCTGCTCTGCCCACTGTTCTGCATTCCCTAAGAAGGTGTCTGCAGGGTAGTGGGGCGGGGCCTTGGCCTCTGCTCCCTCACCACCTCCACACTGCCCTCTCAAATCCTCTAGAGACCTGAATAGTACCCTCCAGGCTCATCTCCTGGCAGAGTGGAAGTTCCCATTTCCTGATATGTGCTATGTCAGGATGGACAGAAGTATTTTAGGGAAAAAGGTGGCAAGAGAAATAGATAATGTTGATCATGATGATATTCATTCTTATTTGGGAACACATTCTAAGTGCTTTACGTATTTCCTGACAAAATCTCACAGCAATGCTATGAGAAAAGTACTATTATTACATGCCCAAGTTATAGACCAGGAAACTGAGGTGTGGAGACTTTCAACAATTTCCCCACAGTTGTGTAAGCTGGTAAGAGGTTGGAACCAGAATTTATACCCAGGCAGAGTCTGGCTCTAGAACCTGGGCATGTTGTTCCTAGTTTAGAGATGAGGACTCCAAGGTCCAGAGATCTAGTTCTCCCATAGTAATTTGCCTCAGGTTCCATGGAGAGGATGGGGCAAGACAGGATTCACACCCAGAACTGGCGGAGAACCTGAGCTCTTGTCACTGTCCCTGGAGGCCTCCCTGTGCTTCTTCCCCAGGGGTGGTTTCTCTGGCTTGGTTCTTCAGCCCCAGAGGCAAGACTGGTCTTTAGTGTTGGGGAGCTCCCCCAGGGTTCAGCTTCACCAAAATCTCCTGGAAGCTGTGTCGAGGTGGAGCAGATTTGGGGAGGAGGTGGGACCAGGTGGGGTACCCCCCCCAGGGCAGGGGACTCACGGTAATGGGGAGCCGCTCTATGCGCAGCGCATTCAAGCCTTTCCCTGTCATTATCTTGCGGTATAAACGACTCTTAAGCGGCAGCACGGAGACACCTAGGGGCTTGCCGAAGGTCCATGGTTCACTGCCTTTCACTGTGGGGGAAAGACCAGCTGGGGCTCCCACCAAAGACCCCCACCTGGCTTCTCAGATCCCAGCGTGTGGGCTCCACCTGAACCCCATCCTCTGATATGGAGATCTAGTTCTCCCACCCACCACCCACCTGCTCTCCTGCCTCCTGGTTTTCTTCTGCACATACATCCTCTTTCTCTTCTGTCCTCAGGGGTTTGTGAATTCAAAGCCAACTCTAAACAGAGTCTACATCTCTAGGTATTTCTCTGGATTCCCCTTGTCTCAGTCCTTTGGGGACTTCAATTCCAGTGTGGAAGTAAGACTATGGATCAGCTGGTCTCTGAATCCTATCTACCCAGACCCACCCTGTGCACTCTGGGAGCCATGAACTCAGGGCTCCACCCCTGCCGCCTAATTGATGGGTGCAGTAAAAGCCAGGCAGCTTGTATGGGAATAGGCCCATGTGTCCTGGTCTTGTCCCTACGGCTTCGACCCTCGTGCAAAGGGAATCTAGCTAGGCCCTCCTCTCCTTGGCTGCCTGTACTGTGAGTCTGTCTTGGCACCTAGGGGCTCTTAACCCATCTCTGCAGAGGGCAGAGGCAAGATAGCTCCAAAACCCCTTCATAAATATGCAGGTCTCCTGGTGCAGGGTTGCCCTGGTGTGGGACCAGGGACACTTACCTGAAGTAGAGGAGTAGTATTCCAGCACCAAGGCTGCGTTTTTGGAGAAATTGGTGCCTCCATCTCGGCTTTGGAAGAGGAAGGACTGATTCCACTGGGGTAGCTCTGGAGGTCCCCCAGGCTTGGAGAGCTGGAAAGAGAGGGTGGGAGCAGGTGTGGGGCAATAGCTTCTCCCAAGTTAAGACATCAGGTTGTGTGTGTGTCTCTCTCTATAAATATATACCACAAATGGTTGTCCCAATTATAAAAGCAGCACATACTTATTTAATACATTTTAGAAAAGAAAGTAAAATAAAAAGGAGCATAAATCCCCTATATTCCTACTTTTCATAAAACTGTTGGTTTTTGTTTTCTGGGCATATTTTTTATATACCAGTGATTGTCATTCAGTATTCTGCCTTTCTCATTTACCATCAAAACCTAGGCATATCCAGAGTCATTAAGAAACTCTTCTTACACATGAATATTTCCTGTCATGCCCAAGTGGCCTATTTTCTCTCTCCCCCAATCTTTTTTTTTTTTTCAATTACGTTGTACTGAATGCTCTTTGCCAAGAACCTCTATATTCCCAATTATTTCCTTGGTTCAAATTCAAATACACAAAACAATCACTGTGTTAAAGGACATGCATATTTTAAGGTGCTTAATTGGTGAACTATTTTCCTGAAGTGTTGCATTAATGTTTACAACTGTGCTGTGGCTGGAGGTATCAGTAAGTGTAAAATTAGACATGACATCTACTTTTGTCACTAGCCCCTCTCTGCCTCCTATAGGTTCCCCAGACTCCAGATCCTTGGTGTGTCTGTCATGTGAGCTGTCAGGTGCTGGGGCACTTGATGGCATACTAAGCTAGCAGCTGGAACATACACACAGGGACAATTTAGACAATGAAACAACTCCAATACCTAAATAAGGAGCTTGGTGAGATATTCTGTGGGTGATCAGAGAAACTGCCTTGAAGGCCAAAGGATCAGAGGAAGTTCTGAAGGGAGACTGGACAGGGTAAAGGGAGGGAGAAAGATCTGGATGGGAAGGGGCACAAGCAATGGAATGTGGATGCAGCACTGAGTATGGCAGTGTGGAGAACTCCTAGAATGGAAAAGGACCCTAGGGGAGGCCTGGCAACTGCAGAAATCTAGCAGCTGAGCCTAGGTAGGGAGAAGGTAGGGAGATGAGAGGCAGCCCTGCAGGGCCTCAGTGTAGGGAGGGCTGCGGTCACTAGCACAGGCTCTCTGAGTGGCTGCCTTGCCTCTGCCCCCATCAGGAGCTGTCAGAAACAGGGACAGCCTCCCCCACCTCCTGCTCCCCTGTAATTCATCATTGCTTTAAAAAAAAAAAAAAAAGGTCAGCATGCATGCTCCATGGACTGTTGCTGCTGCATTAAGGAGGAGCATCATTATGGGTTCTGTCCCACCCTATGGTGGTACAACCCTGATGCCTGTCACACTGATGGCTGGCTCTAGTTTTCCCAATCCCAGCTCAAGGCTCCACTGTGCCTTCATTGGCCCCCGGGAGATGGGTTGTGGCCAGTGCAGGGTCAGGGAATTGTGACTGGAGTGATGGGAGTGGAGTAATCCTCACATACTCATGATGGAAGGTTGGGAGAGCCATGTGGCCACCATGCTTAAGCCAGAGAAGCTGGTTCTGGGTTCTGTGGAGCTTGAGAGTGATCTTTCAGGACTGATCCCCAAACCATGTCCCTCCCAGAGACACCCATTCTCCTGGGTGCCAGAGAGGCATCCAGATGGCCTGGCCCAGCTGCTAGGCATTAGGTCACTCAGGGAGGACCTGTGGCTCATCCCCCTGCTGCCCCTTTCCTTGCCCCCACCCTGGAAGAGAGTTATTTAATGGATGCTCACTGTCTGCTCTGGGACCTATTAATGTGTCTAAATGGGGTCTATAAAGCAAGAGGTGGTGAGTGGCTGCCTGCCTAATGAGGGACAGCCACTTCCCTGAATGGTTTCCCAGGGTGAGTCCCCCAGGAAAGATCCCCTCAGACTAGAATTGGGGAGGGAGGGTCAGTCTCATTGTCTCTCTGATTCATATTCATATTCATATTCATATTCTCTCTCTCTCTCTCTCTCTCTCTCTTTCTCTCTGTCTCTCTCTCTCTCTCTCTCTCTCTCTTTCTCTGTGTGTGTGTGTGTGTGTGTGTGTGTGTGTGTGTGTCTCAAGGTTAAATATAACCTGCAGAGTCTGATGTCAGGGCCCTGGGAAGGTGCTAGTGGCTGATGTATGTGCTGGGTGGGGGCAGGGTGAGGGCAGGGTAAGGGTAGACATTGCCTGTAGATGCTAATGGGAAAGGCCACAGTGGGCTATGGAATTAAGGAATGTGATTAACCCTCAGCTGTGATCTTCAGAAAAGCCATTAACCCCTCCGGGCCACTGAGGCAGACTTATCTTCCTTGGGGACAGAGCCTTTATTCCATGGCTCATGGCCTCTCCTCTGATTTCTCCTGGGCTCACCCACACTCATACCTACTGCTACCTATTCTGCCTAGGCATAGTGGGGACCAACCTGGGAGAATGCTGGGGTGGGGCCTCCAGGGAGGTAGGCCCTTTGGACTCTAGGCCTGGGTCTGCCTCAACCTTGCTGTGTGACCATCAACAAACCCCTTCCCCTCTCTGGGTTTTCTCAAACCTCTTCCCCTGGTTTTCTCATTGTCCAGAAGTAGACTTATGATTGACACCTTGAAAGCCTATTGTGAAGTTGAAGGAAACAACATTTTGCTATTAAGGTGAAAGTTCAACTGAATGCAGCAAATGTGACTGGGAGACTTCTCCATGACACACGTGTGGGTGCTGCAGGGAATGGGGAGTTAGAGCCAGACCCTACCCCCATCCAGAGTTCCCCACCTTCCAAGAGGACAGGGCATGAGTAAGCACACATGTGCACCCATGCAGGTGTACACACACACACCCCTAGGATCCATGTAGAGGCCTAAGTGATTGTGGATGACTGAGGAGAAAGCCATACCTTCTGACCTGGGGCAAGGAGGCCTGAGGGATGAGGGCAGGAAAGAAGGAGCAACCTGGGCTGAGAGTCCAGCAAAGGTGAAGGCTGGAGGAGAGCGACAATGTAGAGAACAGCAAGTCCTCCTGGGGCACTGGGAGATGCCTGTGTGAATTGGGGCAATGAGCCAGGAGGCTGGAGGAGACAAGGAACTTGTGGACCTGGCTAAGGGGGGCTTTGTTCTGTCAGTGATAGCAATAAGGGATGCGAAGGGAAGGACCCAGCCCCAGGCAGGGGATGCCCAGCCTACTTCTTAGAGGATGAATAGAAGTGGCCTGGAGGGAGGATGCGGCAATGGTCCAGGCAGGAGAGAAGGCCAGCACTAGAAAGGAGTTTGAGGGAATAGACAAGGCTCCTGTGGTGTAAGGCACAGATGGATCTTTCACTCCTGCTTGTGTTTCAGTTCCTGGGAGTTCTGCCCTAGCGCCTAGAGGAGGCCAGGCAATAGGGCAGCCTGCTGGGTCCAGTGGGGGAACCTAGGTGCACCTAATAGCCCACCATCCCTGAGCTCATCAAAGTTCAAGGTCTGCAGCACTCACTAGGCTTGAGAGCAGTGAAGCAGACACAGGTCCACCCACCCCATCACCATTCTCCTTCCTGCCTCACAGACAACAGATCACCCTCTTGTCCAGAAGCGTCCTTTCTCCACACGTGTGCACATTGGCTACCAGCAAGGCAGAGCCACACCCTCCTCACTGATTGGCTAAGAGAAGTCATATGATCCAATTCTGACCAATAAGAGGAGAGGGGAGGTCTCCTGAGGGATTGGTGGAACCCAGAGGCTGCTGGTGAATTCTCAACCTGGCCCAGCTGCCGTGCTTCAGGGAGGGTCCTGGGCCTCTGGACTTGAGTCTCACACAGAGAAAAGTTTCTCATAAAAATGACACTTAAGAAGAAGTTACCCTTTTTCTCTGGCCTTTGTTTATATCTGAATGGGATGCCTGAAACATCTTGTCCCCGTGAGCTTTTAGCTAGCTGGGTGAAGGCAATTTTGGGGGTACTAAAGAGATCCCAAATCTTTTTAGGACAGCAATTCTGGCAGCATCCTATGTCAAGACTTCTGTGTGTGTGGTAATAAACATCCTAAATGTTCTGGTCCATTTGAGTTAACTTTTCTGTTACTTGAAGTCAAATGTAACACGACGGACAGTCGTGAGGCTGGCCTAAGAGGAAACATTTGGTACTAGGGAAGATACGATTGTAAGGGGACAGAATCTTTTAACTGGCCTGTGGTTGGATGTTTCACCCTGATTATCCTTTAAGTTCTCCTAATAGCCTGATAAAATAGGAATCCGTAGGTCTGGAGGAATTGAGCATTTTGGCAAAGGTCACATAGCTATTAAGTCACAGAGCTGGAATCAAACCCAAGTCTGCTGGACCCTCCAGCCCCTGCCCATAGTGCTTTGGTAAGATGGCAGCTGGTGAGAAACTATTGTACCCCAAGATATCAGAAAGGACAGGCCCTGGAAGTCATCTAGTCAAATCCCCACCCCATTGACTGTGGAAATGATAGAACTGAAGCTCAGACAGGACAGGGCAGGAGATGTAAGCTCTGGGTCCAGGCCTGCTGACCGTGCACCTCCAGGTAGGTCTCTAACCACTCCACCTTCCACCCCCTTGTAGCAACGTGCCCTGTTCGCTCACTGCCAGCACCTGGGTATCTCTGTGCGGGCTACCAGTGAGTTCCCAACCTGGCCCAGCTGCCATGGTGCTGGTGTCCTAGACCCCTGACCTCAAGTTTTACACATAGAAAAGGCCTTGGGGGGAAGTCTCCACAGTGAGGGGCACCTCCCCCACTCAGCTAGTTAGGCAGCGAGAGGGCCCAGGGATAGGAGGGGGCTCACTCATTAAAGCAGTCAGTGCCTCCCGCCCCTTGGGACAGCCTGCTGATTGGTTCATAATTTTCTGGGCAAATGCAGGGCCATGTGTGAGTTGACTCTGGGGAAATCAGGACGAGGATTGGTTTAGGTTTGAAGCTTCGGTCCCCAAGGTTTCCCTTTATCCCACTCCTTCCTGCCACCATCACTCTTGCCTGTGTCTGAGCCTTCTTCAAATGTTTTTGCCTTTAAATGAAGGCTGGGGCTCCAAAGGAGTGTCTTGTTCTAGTTTTGCAGTGCCAGACATGAATGCTTATGGGTGGAAAAGAAAAGGGACTTCCAAGAACCCCTTTGTTCTTCTAGGCGTGTTAGAACCATTGTGTAGAGTAAGCTCCCTCTGAAGTGCATTCAGGGAAGAGAACAACAGGGCCATTACCCAGTACCCAGCCATAATCAGTATACCCCGTCCTCAGCTTAGTGTGATGTGACACACAGCCCTCCTGTCCACCCCTGGTATGTACCATGTCCTGGGTATCTGTGCCTCACATCATGTTCTTGCTGTTCTCAACCACCCTGTACCAACCTTCCCCATATCAAAAAGTCATGATTGCCCTTCTGAATGCCCCTATGCTTCACAACCCTCTCCTCTGATCAATTAAAACGTTTTTACTGCAGTAAAATATACATAACATAAAATTTACCATTTTAAGCAATTCAGTTGTGTTAAATACATTCATATTGTTGTGCAACCATCACCACTATCTATTCCTAGAACTCTGTCATCACCCCAAGTATAAACTTTAACACCCCCTTCTTCCTTCTCCCGAGCCCCTGGTAACCACTGTTCTACTTTCTGTCTCTGTGAATGTGCTGATTCTAGGAATCCCAAATAAGTGGAATCATATGATAGCTGTTCTTTTGTGTCTGTTCTGATTTTTGCAGTTCTGATTTTCCTTTCTGGTTTGATATTAGATGATTCATGCTCTGCGTTGATGACTAATATTTCCACGGGTGCGATTCCTGTCTTCTTCAGAGCAAGCATGCCCTGACAGATAAGGCCTGCCCTGGGTATGCAGCAAACTCTTCTCCTTCAATAGTCAAGTGCTGCTGGATGATTGACCAAAGCAATAAACTTGAGGGTGAGTTACCAGAAGTAGGAACCAGTGAGAAGACGAAATGAGGGAAGGAACCATACCTGAGGGTACCCACTCTGGCTGACCCGAGGCACATCAAAACTCATCATCGATTGGATAGGGAAGGAGAGCGGAGTGATGTGCAGCCCCATAGAGGCTGGACTCTGTCTGGCCTGATTTTCCCTGGGGAGGCAAGGAGACAGGGGTTGGTACTCTTGGCCCTGTCACCAGCCTGGCAGCTGGGGCTCCTAGTTGGAGTCTGGATTGATGTGAGAGAGGGGTAGAGTACAGCGGCCTGCCTCATTCAGGCTAGAATCTTGTGACATGGCTGGTGGGCCATGGTCTTCCAACAACTGACCTAAGCTTTGGAAAATCTCACCTTGGTCAAGAGATGGGCTATAGCTCCCAGGTTCCCTTGACTGTTACTTGCTGTGGCCTTGGCCAACTTTCCCATCTTTAAAATGGGCCTTGTAAGCCAGGCACAGTGGGGAACACCTGTAATCTCAATGACTTGGAGGTGGAGGCAGAAGGATTGCAAGTATGAGGCCAGCCTCAGAAGTGAGACCCCCAGCAGCTTAGCAAGACCTGTTAGTAAAAAGTAAAAGGACTGGGGATGTAGCTCGGTAAAACACTCCTGGATTCTACCCGCAGACCCCAAAACAAAACAAAACAAAAATGGGCCTTGTATTACCCACTTCATTTGTGGAAGATCTTGTCAAAATAACTCCCACCATCCCACCATGGAAACCCAGTGTAGGCTTAAGGGGCGTGGAGAGCCGTGTATGTGTGTGTGTCTCTGAGCTTGTTGGGTATCAGGACATCAGTGCGCAGTCATCTTCATTCCTCCAACAAGCAGGAAGGAAGGTCATAAACACTCCACAGGGGGTGCACATGAGTTAAGGGGTTCTCTTGGATCATCAGAGCCAGTAGAAGTGACAAGGGAGCAGAAATCTAACTCCCAGGAGAGATGCTGTTACACAGAGAGCATGTGTTACTGGGGAACTTTCCCCACCTCCAGGGGCCAAACTAGCCTGAATCCCCTTCTTGAGGATGGTATATAAAGGACGTCTTGAGAAGTTGGGAACAAGTTGGGGCTGGGAGACCAGGGAGACTTCCAGGAGGCTGAGAGGATTCCCAGGTAGAGCTAACGTCACAGAATTCCAACATGGCCTTAGCCTGCCTCTTTGGTAGGTGGAGACTGTGTCCCTGAACTAGAGTGGGAAAGGGGACTCCAGGGATGGTGGGTCTGAGCTGGGGAGGCAGGTTGGGGGCGGGGGTAAAGGTCCCCTCTTATCCTCGCACAGTGGCTCCCTCCAGCTCCTCAGGCTCCATGCAGGCCTCATCCTCCTCCCCTGCTTGCTCTCAGGAGATGTCCCAGCTGCCCCTTTCCAGGGATCTGAGGTCTCTAGGGAGAGACCTAGAGGCCTCTGCTGCAGGAAGCTCTCTGGGACCTCAGACCTGGGTGTGGGAGGGAGATTGGGGGGTCTTGGAGGAGGGGAGCTTTCTGGAGCTCCTGGAAGCTGCCTGTGGTGGCAGTGACACCAACCTCTGTCCTTTGCCCCCAGCTCCTTGCCCATACCCCACTGGGCTTCACTTACTTAAACTCCTTATAGTTGGGAACCACACGGGCAATCACCACCATGGGGTTGGGGTTGTTGATCAGTGGATCGTTGACTCCCCGGAGAAAGACCTGGAGAAGAGAGGAGGCAGGTGAAGCCCATGTGGCCTTGAGCCCTCCCACAGATCTCACCATCCTGCCTGCTCTTCCTTCCCCAGCCATGGTCCACCCCCTCCACCTGCTCTTCCCTGCCTCACTTGGTTCCTGCTTTGCTCATGGCTGCCTTGCTTCAGGAGGCAGCCTTCTCTGACTAAGGCAAGTGGCCCCAGTTTCCTTAGGGCACTGCTGGGACTTAGTAGTGAAACGTCTTACAACAGGGGCCACTGGGGACAAGGTGTGAGACAAGAGTCAGGGCCTGGGAGGAGTCAGGGAATTTGGGTTCTACCCTTGGCTCCCCTGATGGCTTCTGGGGCAGAATTAGGGTTAGTTAGGTGTTCTGGCTCCTTTCAGTTTCTGTCCATCAAAGGGGACAAAAAAACTTTATCCAGGCTTGTTCTGGGCTATGCAGAGTCTCTGATTAGGTTGGCTGTGAGAGGACACCTTGTAAACCAGACCCTAGGTCTGGTTTCTCCAACTATACTGAGCTTCCCAAGGTCAGAGCTCACCGCCAGTTTTCCTTGGTTCTCCTGGGAACAGTTGGGGCTCACCCCAAGGCTTTCCTAGCTAGGGTTGATTTGGAAGGGAATCCCTAACATCAGCATCTCTGGGCTCCTGTCTTCATCCGGTTCCAGCTATCACCCACTCACCATTGCCCTCCCAGGATGATCTCCTGTCCTCTGTCATCTCTTGGTGCTACTTTCCACGTTCGTGGTGGAAGGCAACAGAGAAGAAATTGGAGTGTCTCCAGGAGACACTCCACCTCCATTCTCATGCCGGATCTTCCCTTTCTCTTTACTACACTGTAGTAAAAACTATCTTCTTAGAAATGCATGGGATCATCATGTCCCTCCCCTGCTTCAGATCCTGCAATGGCCTCCTTAAATGTGTTCCATTGATTTTGCTTTTTGCCATGCTGGGGATCAAACCCAGAGCCTCATACATGCTAGGCAAGAGCTCTACCACTGAGCTCCACCCCCAGCCTTTATTCCATGGTTCTTACCATATTGCCAAGGCCTGCATGTGTTGGTCTGTCGGCTCTTCTGCCCACATCTGCTAGCTCCCAGCCCCCTCTTTTTGCTCCAGACTCTTTCTGTCACTCTTCCAACATGTTCTGCCTATTTCTGTCTCAGGGGTTTTGCATGTTCTGATCCCTCTGCTCGCTACCACACCCCCGCCCCCGCAACTTATCATGGCTGCTTTTTCTCCTCTAATTTATATGGCACCACCTCTGAGCAGTCTTCTGGCCATTCTGCTAAAGCAGCCCAATCTTTCCCTCTCTCTGTCTCTGCATTCCTCTTCCACAGCCTGCATCATAGCTTGTGCTTATTCTAATTTATGTCTTATTTATTTTCTGTCTGTTTGACTAGTGCCCAGGCTCCATATGGGTAGGGACCATGCCTGGCTCAGTCACTGTTGCATTCCCAGCTTTTAACACAGTGCCTGGCACAGCGCAGGAGCTTAATATATGTTTGTGGGACAAGTGAGTACATTATTGAGGGAGAACAGAGAAGGGAGAGGTTGCCTCTATGTTTGAGTGTGAAAGAGAAATGCAGACACCTGGGAGTGGGGGAAGAGACAGGTGTTGTTGATCCAAGGGAAGTCTGAGGCTGAGTTGGCCTTAGAGGACGGTAGAATCCTAAGGAAGAAAAGCTGGAAGGGGAAGGGGCTCTGGGTACAGCTAAGGGACCATGCCTCAGGCACACCTTGGGATGGGAAGAGGCCTTCGACAGGCCTATTTCAGCTGGGTCACCTTGCCAGCCTTTGTTCCACTTTAGGCCTCAGTTTCCCGACTTGTACACTGAGGGTTTGGACCATCATCTCCATGATCCTTCTAGCTCTGACCTTTAAGGGCCAGAGAGAGGATTGTTCGGAATCCTCTCCTTCAGCACCGTCCCCTAAGACCCCTCTGCCAGGACCCATCTCAGTTGCCAGCTAACTCCACACAATAATAGTCCTGAGGACCTTTCAGCTCTCACCAAAGCCTTCCAAGGAATCTCTGAAGGTGTTGTTTCATGGGAGAGCTGTCAGACCCTGTCACTTACAGGACTCCAACAGGTGTAAGGGCTGAGGGGGGTGGTTGAAGGGCCGGGGGGTAATTTCCACCTGTTCTATTCTGGCTCTGGTCATGTGTGAATGAGATAGCTGCCCAGGCACACCTGCCAGTGATAGCCTGGTGAGCAACAGAAGCCATTTCTTTTCCTGCTGTGCTCTCCAGTCTGCCATTAGAAGCGACATCTGCTCGTGCGGCCGTGTCTGTCATACACACAGGGAGAGGTCTGTGCTGGAGCAGGAGTGCTGGGGGCCCGAGAGGCCCACAAGTCAAAGGACTGGGGGTGGGGCAGGTCCACAGCGCCTCCTGCAGGCCCAAGGTTCTGCCTGTATCTTGGGGATGTGGCTCCCTTCCTGTGGTCGTGCACCCTGGGGACAGCAAGGCCATGTGTGACCACTATTCCTTATTTCTGTGTGTGAGTGGGCAGCTGACTGTCCCAGGAAATAGCCAAATATAAGAAAGAGGAGAGATGGGACGCCTGTTGGCTGTGGAGAAGCAGAGATGTGCGTCAGGAGCTCTGGGCTCCTATACAAGATTACACCCTTGGGTCTCAATGTCCCCAGCTGTGAAATAGGGTTCAAGAATAGTTCTTGCCCTGCCTGGCTCACAGTGCTATAGGGGGCTGGGGAGATTAAGTCAGCCATGCTGGGTTATGGGAAGCCCAGAGTTTGGGTCTTGTGAATAGCACTACCCAGACCATAGTGGACATGAACCTGCCACCCAGGGGCAGTTTGAAGGCTGTGAGTGAGGATGGAGGGGACAGGTCCCTATGGACTATGTCTTCCTTGAGTATCAGCTGTTTCTCCTGAAGCTGCTGAAGGGCCAAGGGGTACAGGGTGATGATCAAAGGGGCAGAAGCCAAGCCAAGCTAGATCCAGTCCTGGCCTGGCTAATGAAAGAGGCCTTGTAAACAGTTGTTGACCAACTTAATGAGTGAATGAACTCCTGACACCTAATTGTCAGACTAGCCAAACCTCAGCAAGACTCAGGGAGACCCTAAGTTTTTGTTTGGGGCACTTAGGCCCTAGGTCAAGGGTCATTGCCCCAGGAGGGAAGATTAGGACTGAAAACAGCCAGAGGCTATGGGAAAAGGTAGGACACACAGTGCTTCTCACCAACTTCCATGACATTAAGGAATCATGGCTATGGGAGACTCTGGTCCCTTCTGTAGAGTGGCCAGGCAGAGGGGACATGAGAAGCATAGCTATCACTCAGCCCCCATCTCTCTTACTTTCAAGGGCAGCGAGGGCAGACAGGCTAGGACACCTTTATCCCAGATCAAGTTTTGTCTTCACAAACTACTCTGGAAAGATCCAGTTGCTTTCTCCTTGATTTTTTTCCCTGGACACTTGTGCTCCATTCTCTCAGGCCAGTCAGAGATGGCCAAGGGCAAGGCCTGCTCTAAACCCGGCCCCTTCCCGCCCCACCCACCACCCCAGAAGGCCACAGCCAGGTACCTCTAGAGCTGTGTGGTCACAGCCAACGTAGCGGGGGAGGAAACTGTTCTTCCGAACGATGGTGGCGTACAATTGGGGCTCAGCAGTTTCTTTGCTTTCTTTCGAAGGCTGGGTAGACTGGAGACAGGGTGGGGGAAGAAGACACACAAGAAGGAGACTATCTAAGGGGCAGAGGCTGGCCATAAATCCAGCCTTCTGCAGACAATCACTTGGCATTGCTCCGCTGGGGCTCCAAGCTGATAATTAAAGCTCATGGTCCCTGTGAGCCCTTCCAAGGAGATCAATATAATAAATCTTTGCTCTCCATTTGGATATTTCATCGCCCTCACAAAGACCCTGCTGCCTGCTCTCTTGGTAAAGATGTGATAACGAGGCCTGGGCTATAAGTGGATGGAGGGCCAGGGGCCAGGTAATACTCCCAAACTGGAGCTCAAGTGCAGGGTCTCCAGGGGGAGCCACTCATCTCTCTGGATCTTTGCTTCCCTGCTGACCCTGGGGCCTCATCTGAAGCCCTAGGGTTGAGTTCCTCTTGGGGCCTACAGAAGATAAAGACCCCTGGGGCCAAGATGAAAGTTTACTTGGAAAGGTCCTGGAAGGAGAGAGGAGCCCGTGTTGCCTGTAATCCCATCGGCTTGGGAGGCTGAGGCAGCCTTAGCAACTAAGCCAGGCTGTAAGCAACTCAGGGAGACCCTGTCTCTAAATAAAATATAAAAATGGGCTGGAGATGTGGTGCAGTTGTTAAGCACACCTGGGTTCAATCCCCAGTACCAAAAAAAAAAAAAATAGGAAGTCAGAGGAGGGAGACTACCGGAACTATATCCCATGTGCCTGAGACTTTGCCCTCTATGCACTGGGCCCTCCAGATGACCATGCCAGGAGGTATGCTGACAGAGAATGGGGGCCTGGAGTTAACTAGCTTTCTATGGGCATCCAGCTAGTAAATGGGAGACTTGGGACAGGAACAGAGACAATTTGGCTTCACATTGTTCTTTACTCTCACGAAAGAGACCTTGAATGCATGTAAGGGTAGGGGAAACTGATGCTTCTTCTCATTGTGGCTCAATGTCTGGCACATAGTAGGTGCCATAAGTACTTGAGCAATGAAGGAGTGAATTCTTCCCCTCCCCCAATCAGCACTGGGTGGGAGCAGGAAAGCTAACCTGGGAGGTCTAGGCTGCTGCTCAGATGTCCCCTAGAGGGACACATTCCAGGGAATGCTTTACCTGCCACATGCCCCAACCCCTCCTGGGCCTTCCTCCTGCCAACACCACATGTGGAGATGGTAAAGAAAGAATTGGCTTAGGAGACTGCATGACCTGGGCTCTACCTCAACTCTGCAGCTTTCTCTGTGACCCAGGATGAGAGGATTCTTTTTCCTGAGCTCCAGTCTCATGTAAGCAAAATGTAATTCACCTTGAGGATTATATGATGTGGGAAGCATTTAGCACAGGACCTGGAACATGGTAGGTACTCTGTAAATACTGTATTTCCTTGATTTTTTAGATCTACTCCATCATTTATAATATGTGCAATCTTTCATTGGTGTATTCTTGTAATGTCATAGTTGTTTTATGCAAATTGAGCTGTTTCATGGACAAGAATTCCCCCCTCCCCCCCCACACACCTTACTAGGATTGAACCTAGTAGTAACTCGACCGCCAAGATACATTCCTTTTTGATTTTTTAAATTTTTTATTTTATTTATTTATTTATTTATTTTGGTACCAGGGATTGAACCCAGGGGCATTTAACCACTGAGCCACATCCCCAGCCCTAAATTACTTAGTGCCTCACTTTTGCTGAGGCTGGCTTTGAACTTGCAATCCTCCTGCCTCAGCCTCCTGAGCTCCTGGAATTATAGGTATGTGCCACCATACTCAGCTCTTTTTTGATTTTTGAAACATACTCTTGCCAAGTTGCCCAGGCTGGCTTTGAACTTGCAATCCCCTTGCCTCAGCCTCCTGAGTAGCTGGGATTACAGGGGTGCACCCCCATGGTCTGTGAGAATTTCAAATTCCTGTGGGCATTATTTCTATCTACCTGCCATGAGTGATGTTTCCTGAGTCCCTAGGCTAGTCATACTGTGGAGTGAGCATGCGTTGTCTTAAGTTTGCTCTCAGAGATTATTTGAGGGCATCAAAGTTCTTCCCACCAGCTCTGGCCAGAGGGCATGCCCATAGTGTAGGGCTGTGACTTACATTTGCCAGCTGAAAATGATAGGGGTGGAAGACACGCAGATATTTAATGGGGATTTTGTAGGACAACAGCTTGTCTTTATTTTTATAGTCCATCACCTTAAGGATCACATCTGGAGAGAAAAAAATTAAGCACGGGGTTAGGACAGGGTTTGCCAGAACATTTTACCTCCTAGTGTGGTTAGAGAGTGAGGGGTGAGAGATATTGCTAAGAGCAAGGGGCACAAGCCACACAGAGGAATCATACACATATGTGGAACACACATGTGCACATATCTCCACAAGAACTGTCTGAGCCTCTGAGCAAGGCAAGGTTCCATGCCAGGTGCATTTAGGACTCCAAAATGTGATTTTCCCCTGTGGCTAGGAAATTCCCATCCTAGGGATGGACCCCCAAAACTAAGCCTAGTTCCCCATGGCAACAGACACACAAGTGCACACAGAGATTCACAAGCAAGCAAGAAGGCCCTGGTCGTAAACACTCCCACCAGCTCCTTAGGATGGAGAAGAATCAACCCCTACATGTTGCAGGTGAGGAAACTCAATTAGGAAAAAGTGATCTGCTCCAGAAATCATTTATGCAACTATCAATAAAAGTCTACTCCAAGTAAATAAAAATTAGTCTCAACACTAAGAATAACACCCCACTTATTAAACACTTTCAAATAAGATAACATTTTTCTCATTAAATGACATGAACTTCAGGATGAACTTTAAGGAATAAACACAGATGCCCTGGAGATTACAGTGGTCCCACTTAGTACCTGTGTGTACCAGACATTGAATGCGCACCCTTTAACCATTATTTCAACAAGTTCCCACCATGGTATTGCCAACTCTGCTTTAAAAATGTGAACAATGAAGCACAGAGGGGTTCTATAACTGAGCCACCATCACACAGCTAGAAAAATGAATGATGAGAAATCTGGATTTGGTGACTCTTGAGGCATCTGGCCGTTCTTGGAAGTCTGATTTGAGGAGGAAGAAAAGAAGGGAAAGGAGCAAAGGAAGAGAAGAATGGAGGAGGAATGAGAGATATGGAAGAGGGAGGAGATACAAGTGAGATCTATACAAAAACAGGCAAGAGAGGATTAGGTGGAGTAATGTGCTTGAGAGAGACCCTTGGGAGCCTTTCTTCACGGGAGGGAAAGGTTTCAGTACCAAGGATAGCTGCCGGCCCTTGAAAGCTCAGCCAATGCGAAGCTCAGTGCTAAGCCCAAACTCAGCAGCCAGGTCACTTGGAGTGGGATGGGTCATTTGGATGTGGAGGTAGAGAAGGAAACCAAGGGCTTTACCAACTGTCTTTCCTTTTTCATTCTTCCCCACAGCTACCCTGAACACATAGAGAGGGAAAGACACCAGCTGAGAGCTGGCTGCATGGGATCCATGCTCAAAGGAAAAGTGCTTTGAGATTGACTGAGGTGAGGGATTTAAAGTCAGAAAATGCAAGTTCCAGTCTAAGACACTTACTTGTTCTGTGATCCTTAGCAAATCACTTAACCTCTCTGAGCTCCATGGACCTGCTCTGCAAAATGTTCATACTTTAAAAGACAGAAAGAAAGGAAGAAAAGTAGGAAGAAATGAAGAAAGAAGTCCTGTCCCTTCCCTGGGATAGCTGAGGGAGGAGAGTGTGTTTTAAGCTACACAATTCTGTGCAAATGCTCCTCATGACTATTTGCCTGCTTGCTAACCATCTGCAGCTCTCCACACACTCACCCAGCCCTGGGCAGAGCTCAGCTGGGGGATTCCAGTGCTCTGGATCAAGGCCACAGTAGCTATGGAGACAGCGGCCCCTCGTGCTCACTGCTGATGGACCTGAGTTCCCAGATCTGCTTAGGATTTGCTGAGGCCAAGCAGAAGAGGAGTGCCCCCATACCCTCATTTCTGGAGCTCTGTTAGGCAGATGAGCTGTAACTTGGGGGAGTGGACAGCCATTCCTCCCTGTTCCTGTCCACATGCTACAAGCACGCTTCATCAGCTTCCTTTCTGGGCATTGCGCCCTTCCGGCCTCCCACTGCTCCCTTTGTGTAGCCACAGGCCCTTTCTGACACCCGCCTGCTTTGGCCCTGACCCAGGGTCTGCAGCTCCCCCTTTGCTTTTCATTAACACATCCTTGAGCTACTTCCCACCCTCCTCCCGCCTTTTGGCCTGGCCCCCATCTCCCCCACCCCCACCCCCTGCATCACCACAGCAACCGGGTTCCAACAAGCTACTTCAGTCTGCAAAGAGGTGCCTGCCAATATTCCCTGCCTGCCTGTGCTGCCTCCCCACCCTCCTCCATCCCTCCTGCAGTTAGTCCTGCCCCTTCTCTGCTGCACAGATGGACCCCAGGGCTACTGACCTCATCATACCCTTTCCTCTCTTACCCCAGATGTGTACAGCCCAGGCAGGACAGGATCCAGCCCAGGTCCATACACCACAACCCCTAACTTCCTCATGCACATGCATGTATGTGTATGTGCACACACACACACTCATGCACTGTCAGATGCACATAGATCACACTGTTGCAGCCAGACACACCCATGCACACACACATACAAAACTCATATACATGTCTGCCTACAGGCACAGAGACACAGTGCGTATTCACACACAATACTATTCACACGAACACATGAACTAGCATGCAGGCATCCACAGAGACATGCACACCCAGGCACACACGTATAGCTGTGTGTGCCTTCCTTTGCCAATTTTCCTCCTCTTTTGTGTCATCTCAAACCATCACACAGTTTCATGTATCCCTTTACAAGCAGAAAAAAATTCTCTGGCTGGACCTCAAACTTGTCTCCTTTCCTCTCACTGAGGTTCCCCTCCCATTCCCTCTCTCCCTCCCACAGTCTCTAGCAGTGGCCTTTTGCCATCTGTGAGGTGAAAAGGAGTTCTAAGTCCCTGGCAAGATTTTGAGAAGAGAGGTTAAGCCTGTCCTCTTGGGGAGAGCCACAACAAGAAGCCAGCCTGAGGGTCTTCTGATTGGATGTGACCAGGGATGCAGCTGGGTACCTATAGTCTGTGTGAACAGTGCCCCACAGCAGTCCTGCACCAGCCAGCCAGTGCTCCTGTGTGCCTAGCCAAGCTGTCACCCAAACTAGATGTTAGATGGGCCCACAGCATGGAAGACGTAAGTATGCATGTGTGTGCACATACCGGTACCTGGAGGCTCAGTCTGGCAGGAATAGTCTGAGAGGAACAGGCAAGAATAAGTGACCATTTTAGGGACATTAATAAAACCCAAAACTTGGCTGGATGTGGTGGGATATGCCTGTAATACTAGCTGCTGGGGAGGTGGAGGCAGGAAGATTGCAAGTTCAAAGTCAGCCTGGCCAATTTAGTGAGATCTTGTCTTGAAATAAAAAGAGCTTGGGGATGTAGCTCAGTGGGAGAGCACCCCTGAGTTCAATCTCCGGTACTAAATAAACAAAAACAAAACAACAACACAAAAACCTCAAATGGCAGCAGCTAGAACCTAGGAGTTCCAGTGAAAACATGTAGTGCTGAATCCAATACTGAATCCTAGGCTCTCTGCTGAGTACTTGAGCTTGAGCCAGTTATTTAAATTCCCTGAACCTTAGTGTTCTCTTCTAAGCAATGGGAGCATCATGGCTCCTCGTGGGAGGTGGTGACTCCAATGATCGATGCATGGGGACATGCCAAGAAGCTGTAATGTGCCATTTCAGTGGGAGACAGCAGTAATAACAACCATGAAAATAATAACAACGGTCATAAAAAAGATAAGCTTGCATTCATTTATGTGGAACAACTCATTTTTCCAGCAGGCTGGGGAGATGAGGCGTGACGGTATTATGATTTTTTTTTTTTAAATGCTTTTAACAGAGCCCAGGGAGGCGGTTCAGGTGGCCTCCAGCTGTGTTGAGTGGGGAGCCTCTTTCTGCCTTCCACAGCTGGGGGGTGTGTTACAGCCCCTCCCACACACACCAGCCCACCAGCCCCCAGCCTCACCTTCTTGCCCTGAATTCTCAGCGAGTGTCTCCACTTTCACTGTTTCCCCCCAGATGGGGGATCTGGTGGGCTCTGAGGTCACCGAGGTGACTGCTTTGGAGCCCCGGTGGTCAGCTTCTTTAGATGTGGTTTCCCTGGGGAAAGAGGGGCAGGGCGAATCAGGGAGGCACTTTGCCTGCCGAGTGCCAGCTCAGGGAATCCACTGTCTATAAATCTGGGTGAAAGGTGGACAGAACATGGAGGGGTCCCCTCAACCCTGTACATAGACACTCATGTCATCCCTCTCATCCCTGGCCCAGTGGACGCCAGGCTTCCCCCCCTCCCCCACCCACCTGCTCTGGGGACACACCATCTGCTGCCACTGCTGTGGCCTTCACTTTGACTCAGACACCAGACACCATGCCTGTCTGACTTCCTGACTGTTCTCAGGGAAGGTCCCTGTAGGAGTCTGTATGGGACCCTCCTCCTGACCTGACCCTCTTCTCTAGGTTCTGTTTAGTGGGAGGGGGTCTCTAAACAGTGTGGTGGGGTGGTACTCCTCCCAGATGTCCACGCCTCTTGGTCTTCATTTCTCTATGCTTCTGACCCAGATTCCCGAGGCTGCAGACTGGGCACCCATAACCAGGCACCTGTAGCTGGACATGGGGGTGATAGTGAGGGCTTTGGGACCCTTAAGCACTTACAGGCTGTCAGGACCAGGCTGCCCTGGTGAGATGGGAGCTGAATCTGCATCCCAGTGCAGCCCAAAGATTTCTGGGTTAGGCTTCCCTGAGATCCAGAGCCATCAGACAGCTCAATGCCAAAGTTAATGCTCCTCGTGTTGAAGACATTATTCTGGTTATTCTGCCAGGGCTGTAAAAGACGCTGTAAAAGATTGCTGCAGCAATCATGGCATGAGGTCTCCTCTCAGAGAGCCTACCTCAGGGAGCCACAGCATACATCCAGCAGGGGAGGCAGCTGAGCAGATAGTCCCAGTCGCTCCAGGTGGGATGTAAGGGTGTTGTCCTCACCAGCTCTAAGCACACCCTCAGAGGCCCCAAAGGGAATGTGGGGCAGGCCAGTCACCCCAGAAATTCAGACCCAATCTGCTCCATGCATCAGCAACACCAGCCTGGGGTCCTTCTCAGCCCAGCTGTGCCTTTTCTCCAGGAAGTGCTTGGAATTTTCTGGTCTTTACCACGGCCTCTGTCCTTTAGACTTAGGAGACTCTGTGGCCTAGCTCCTACCCATTCTTATGAGAGTCACATCTCGAGGCTCCAAGAGTCAACTGAGGACTCCTGCTCTGCTTTGACGGGGAGGCAGCGTGACAATGATTCTAACCAGCATCCTGCAGCCACACCACTTGGGTTCCAAATTCCAGTGCCACCATTAACTGTGGGACTTTCGGTAAGGTACATGGCTTCCTTGTGCTTTATTTCCTTCATCTGGAAAATGGGGATGATCATGTACTCATCAACAACCTGTAGGGTCGCTGTGGGAAGGAAGTGAATTAAATATGCTGTGCTTGGCACATCTTTAAGTATCATAAAACTGTTAGTAATTATTGTTGCTTTTGCTCTTGTTATTGTTTTGGGGGGGGATTGAACTCAGGGCCTTGCACATAACTAGGCAAGCACCCTAACCACTGAGGTACAAGCCCCAGTCCTGTTATTACTTTTAATTACTAGTACATAAGTAAAATATAATTCCTCATTATCAATCAATAGCACTGAATGTCCTAGCCTCAGTGACCCTCCCACGGCCTGCCCCTTTGCTCTGGCCTGGTTTCTTTTCATTAATTGAAAACTGATGACTCAATTCCGGTTCTACACCTGGGGATCCTTGGCTGCCCTGGCTGAGTTGTGAAATCCTTGGATAAGCACAGGCTTTGGAGCTCAGAGACCTGGGCTAAGCCCATGTTTTCCCCAGTGGCGGGCTCCCCTCTGGGCCTTGGCTCTTCTAACTAGTGCCTGCCACAGAGGGTAGTTGAGTATCTGAAGGAAAGCATGGCAAACAGGAGGCCCCAGTTCATGCACTTCTCTTATTTGTGATACAGAACCACCTTGTGTTTTCTCAATGGGACCTGATGGAGGGCAGCATGAGGGGGGAAGGAAGGTGAGCCCTGAGGGAGGACTGGGATGGGAAGGATGCGACTCCCAGAGAGCTGGAGACCTGTCCAGACACCACCTGTCCTGTGGGGCTCTGAGGGATAGAATGGGCTCCCTACAATTACAGAGGGCTGCTGTGGCCTGGGGCATGTGAGAGGCTGCCAAGTTGGAGAGGCCAAGGCATTGAGCCTGGCAGGCAGCGGAACTCAGCCTGCCTCCTCCACCTCTTGGGCCCCTTCCTCTCTGTGGCTAACTGAGGGGTGGGTGCAATATAAGGCCCTTCTCATGCCATCCTGTTAATATTCCCAAAGTCAGAGATCTCAGAGCTCTCCTAGGTCCCTCCTGCCCACCTCTGCTCCCTTGTAGCATGAATGCAGGATCAGGCCTCGCAGTCTCCCCCAGCAGTGACCTAAATGAGGTGGAGCATACAAGAGCACACGGGAGCATTCCTGTGTCAGGAGGAAGGAAGGGGGTCCTTATACACCCCAGAAGTCACAGAATGACATCAGCTCATCACCCCCCAGGGATATTCAAGTGGCCCTGTATGCACCAGAGAACCAAAGGTGCCAAGTCACAACCAGTACAGGGACAGAATTCAGGTTGGAATCCATGACCTGTACTTGCCAGCCTGTCTTCCACCCCCTGATCTCTGTGGCCCCTTGCTCCCCTCCCCTTCTTTACAGGAGCTCCCGGGAAGTGGGCAGGAGGAATTCCAGGTGGGAAGATATGGGACTATTTATGGGGCAGGGCCAAGGGCTGATTCTCCTTAGGCCTAGAAGGAGTTAAGTCTCCCCTCCCCCCTGAATAAACACACCAAAGAGGTGGCCAGGGCTAGGTGAGGGAGATGGAGCGTGAGAGGGAGGCCCCAGGGGAAGGGAGGCTTTTAGCAGGTGGAGGGAGGCTGTCAGGGTAATGGCTTTTCCTGGCACAGCTGATTCCTCTGGGCCTTGATGTGATTCTAGAAACTGGAGAGTAAGAGGGGGCCTCTGATTTCTTACAGAATAGGAGCAGGGAACCAGCTTGTGCCCCACTCCCTGCCCCCATTCTGCACCCCCAGCTGAACACATTCCTGAGTTCTAGGTCTCCAGGTCCTGAGTTCCCTCAGGGCTCCCAGTGCAACCTCAGGGTCCACTGGGGCCTCTCCAAGGCCTGTATCCCTGTAGGTTGTCTGCAAGGACAGAAACCCCATCCCCCTGTCCCCAAAGCCCTGCCCTGACCCTCCAGCCTGGCGCCAGGCAGTCAGGGGCAGGAAGAAGCAACAGTGAGGTCTGCTGTCTGGGAGCTCAGACTTAATCCAGCTCTAGAAGTGTGGGCCTGGGGTTGGAATCAGGGGCAGGATGGGCAGTCCTGGGCTCCAAGCTAAGAGAAATCCAGCCCAGCCCTCCACAGGGTGCAGAGTGGTGTGAAGTGTCTCTGACAAACCCCAGTCCCGAGCCTGAGGTCTCTGGGGCTCACTCCCACTCCAGCAGAGGGTGAGGAGCCAGGCCTTAGCACAGCTGTGAGTGGGAGGGAATGAGAACAAATTTTCTTTCCTTCTGCAAGGTCACGACTAAGGGAAGATGTGTTGTCTGGTTCCCATGTCTGCTACTGAGTGGAGGTGAGCAGTGGAAAAACACAGGACATTGATGGAGACACAAAGGGACCTTGGGCACCCCCAGGGGGCAACTCCCCCAGCCCTCTACCCCACCTCCATTACTCCAAAGAGGTTTGTGTGCTTCAATGTCATCCATTCTTAATACCCTATTGACCAACACTCAAACTGCCTCAAGGTCTCCTATTCACACCCAGCCACCTCTGCCAGCTGCCCTGCTGGTCCTCCTGGCCCTCTTGGCCTCTCACTCCCCTCAAAACATCAAAACATGCACAACAGTCAAGTCTGGTTTCCTACCAGGCAGGACTTTGGTAGTCTGGGATACAGGCAGGCCAGTTTGTCCCGAGTGCCCATCACAGGGCAGCCACCAGGAGGTCAAAGGAAAGAGAAGGGCTTGAATTCAGGATTATACTGGCTGCTGGGGTCCTGGTTCGGCAAGCTCCCAGGAGGATAGGAAAGTCCAGAGGGATGTTTTCAGATGCTCCCTGGGAAGGAAATAGGCAGGCACAGAAAAGGATGGACAAAGGGAAGATCTTTAGATGGAGGGACAGTGGGACAAGAGGTCTTGTGACCCTTTGACAGGGCCCACCATGGCCCTATTGCTGGCCCACCTGAGATACTTAGAAAAAGGTGGGAGGATAGGTTCAGACTGAGAGTCCTTTAGGCCAGCAGCTGGGATGTCATAATTGGACCTGTGTCTGAGAAGACAGGGAAATTTTCCTTTGCCTGAATCCTCCATGACAGCCTCTGAGCCAGAGAGGCCAGCCTCTCCCATCTTCTAGAAGTACAAAAGATAGCCAGAGTCCAAGGCCAGTCCTTCCATCCCTAGAAGGCACTAAAAAACCCAACGACCTTTTCCTGATCCAGAAACCTAGCCTTGTGCAACAGGAACAGGAGTTGGGGTGTTGGCTCTATAGAGAGGGTCATCCGAAGAGGATGGTCAAAGGCTGCATTCCTGTTTCTGAGCCTAACTGGCTGGACCAGTGAGGGAAGAAGGTTCCACAAAGGGGGCAAGACTCACAGAGATGGAGAAAAGAAACTTCTGAACTGGAGAAAAGAGCCTAAGGCTCAGAGCAGGCCAGGAGCTGGTATCATGCACAAGTCACAGGAGGGACAGTCTGGCTGATCCAGGTTTGGCGGATTGAGGTAATCAGGAGAGAGAAGCTTATGGGCCTCCCTGACTGAGCCCTCTCTCAAGCCTTCTTCCTTCCATGCCCCTTTTCAGTGTCCTCTGAAGCCAGACAGGCAGCAGGGGAAAGTCCTCACACTTTGGGCTTTAGCCAAGCTCCCCTGGGAATGCTGGGTAGGAAGTTGTACCCAGAATTGCTCAAAGAGAAGACGTACTGAATCCAGAAGGGAGAATTCAGCCTGAAGCTCCCTTCTCACCCTCCCTCATTTTGTCTGGACTCAGCCACCAACAGTGCCCCACTCCCCGTACCCCTCCCCAGCCCCACAC